TATATATATATATATATATATATATATATATATATATATATATATATATATGTGTGTGTGTGTGTGTGTGTGTGTGTGTGTGTGTGGGTGTGTGTATATCATATCATATCATATTATATCATATAAAGGCACTGTATAAAGTGTTCTCGTCTTGATTTTACAAGTATTACACCAAGGATGTATTTTCAATTGGTACAATTTATATACGGTAAAATTAATATTAATGTATCTTTTTCTTACCTAGTTTAATAAAGAAAGATTTGATATACAAAATTTTAACTAATTTTAAAGTCCTAAGTTTTGGAGTAATTTAAATTACAATTTTATCCATCGTAAAAGCTATTTTTAAAGGGTAAAAAAGGCGAACGACATTACGCTAAGGGTCTTCGCGCTTTTAATATAGTACTAGTCTCAAGGTACGCGCGTTGCGCGTGTACCCTATATTGATGAGAATTATTTTAAAAAAATATATAAGTATTATTCAAAGCATGGTTTTAGTCACAAAAAAATATTAAGTAAATTTGAGCTCTTGAAAATGATAAATATTGATCATGAAATTGACACACATATAAAGAATTTTATTCATTTATTCATGATCTTGTCTAATAATATTTATTTAAGTAAAACATTAAATTAACGTATACAAAAAAAATTTATTAGTAATTTGAAATTAGAATATCTTATGAGTATTGCTTTTGTCTTAATAACCATGTATATTATGATTTGTTATGTAGTAATCAATAAAAATAAAAAATTAAGTTAATACTTTTATCATAATATTATAATTGATTTCAAAGTTATAAATATTAGGAAAAATAATTAAAAATGTCAAATTATTCCTATCTGAAATTTATTTTTAAGGGTAGAAAGGTTTATCAATATTTCGCTCTGAAGCTTTGTGCTTTTATAATAGTTGATATAGATTTTTATTGATTAATGAAATATATAATATATATTTTGCTCGCAAGAAAGAAAATAGATTATCTGTGTCTAAATGAACTTGAAATAGCTTTTCAATTTTTGTAGAAAAGCTCTTAGATCTTTAAAACATGTGTATTCTTGCTAAAATTGAAAAGTTGAATATATAGAACTTGGACTAAGTTTAATTTGAACATAATGAATGATGACTGGGAAATTTTATAAGGTATAATTTTTTTTTTTTTTGAGTTAGATATATATAAGATCAATATTCATGAATTTCAAAAAGTTAAACTTTCTATTTTATACTCGAATATAACTTTTAGTAAGTATATTTACATATTGAGATTAGGTACACAAGCAACACACATACTGTAAATTTTACCATATAATAAAGACTCCTAACCAAAAAAAAGAAATTGTGTTTGAGATTTAAGGCAAAAAAAAATTAATCAAAAAGATCTCCTAAACCTAAAAGGTATTGACCGCAAAATAAACACATTTAATACCCCATCATAGGGAGTTGCACGTAGGGGCGAAAACTTAGGCTAGGGAGAATTTTTTAAACTACAAAAAGGTCTTCAAAACCTTAAAGGCCATTAACTACTCCACCGTAGGGAGTAGAACGAATAGGAAAAAATTTAGGCGAAATTTTATTAACTTTCCTAGATTGTTATAATAGGAGAAAAATTAAATAGCTTCCTAAATTAGAGGAGAATTAATTAAATAATTATTTATGAATATTAATGAAATACTTAAATTACTATTTTGTCTAATGTGAACTTTATATTTTAAAGGGTAAAAAAGGCGAACGATATTTCGCTAAGGGCCTTTGTGCTTTTAATATAGTATAGATTTTTTTTTACTTATATAATTTATGTATTTTTTTTATGCATGTCAAGCACAAAATTGTCAATTTAGTAGTGTACACCAATAACGATATTTATCTATATCAATAAGCTTCTCCTATAATAAAAAAATATTGGTGCCATGTAATTCATTTTTCATATTTGTTGTACGAATTCATTTATTATAAGACAAAGAAAAGCTCTCTCTCTTCAGTGTTCTAGTGGAATGATCTTGCTCAATATTGAATAGGAGGAATAGTTTAAGAGAGTTCTGATAATGGGACCTTTTCGTTCGTAGAGCGAGCACGACTATCGTCGAGCTCATTATCAACACGAAGAGTTCCTGCTTTTATTGTCGTTATTACAAAATTGTCGTGCAATACAACAATTACTTAGTAAAATTCTTCAAGTGGATTCTGGGAAAGTTAGTGTGTACGCAAACCTTACCACTACTCCGGAGCGCAATAATATTAGCAAAAAGTCAATCATATCAACTCCATATCTTTCTAATTTAGATCGTTATAACATCCCCTAACCAAATGACACTTCCAAATACATAATATTATCTTCTCTTACCGACATTCTAAGAATAAATATAGATCTTCAACGAAATGTTACCATAAATTACAAGATCTAGAGGACTGGCGAGAAGGAAATGCTGCTCGATTTAGTATATCCCTTCATTAAAATTTGATAAAAATAACATGGGGTAAGAGGTAAAATGAAGTTACAGTCGGAAAAAGGGTAAAATGAAGTTATCAAATAGAGTAATAAGGGCAGTGAGCTAATTTATGACCAGACTTCTACATAGTATCAAATTGCCTTCCCCTTTGTGTCCCCTCAAACATCTTAATATAAACAAAGGGAGTATAGGAATTAGAGGTGAGCTTTGTTGAATTTAAAATACTTGCGCATAACAAGAATAGTTTTCTTCTGTAATTACCACTATTTTCTTTTGTAAACTCGGTCATAGCAAGCTCGTCGTATAAAACAAATGGATTAACCACAATTTATATATTACATAACCAATACACAGTACTAATGCCACAATTCATTAATCAGACAGTTGAGCTCCCTAATACAACAAATACATCAAAAAGACGCACGCACAGAAAATTACAGCCGTAAATTTACAAAAATCAATCTACAAAATCATATATACAGTTATCTAATCATCTCAGTTAATGTCCATGGACCTCTTCAGTTAGCAGAGTCCTGCCTAGCAGTATAATGAGCAGATTTTCATAGCATAAACCACTCTCTTGTCAATGCTCTTTTCTTTTGCAAAAATAGGAGTTGATCCTAAGATGCAAGGCCACTTCCGCGAGGCATTTTCTTTGAGCTAGCTGCAGAAGGCATATAAACATAACAATATTACGTTATTTAAATAGAACAATTGGAACGACATCATTTTTTTTCCTGGAATGAAATCCAATTGCCAAACCTCCAAAAAAATATGATAATTAATGCCTCAACATTAAATATTTTGGTCCTAATAGGCATCAAGCAGATAAGGATTATACTTCGGATATTTTGGCCCCTAATATGCATCAAGCAGATAAGCATTTTAAACTAAATAACTAAGTCTCCGCCTTCAGATGACTCCATTGCAGCAAGGCTCGTTGGATCTAATTCTCTAATAAATGAAACTAGATGCAGCTTATAAGATATCCTTCCAGCAGTAGCATATGGCTGCCAAAAGTAAGGGGTTTCATTTTACCTTTCTGCAGTCGCACGCCACTTGAAGTTGGGACTACAGAAGGCAATGATTAAAAAGTTTATATGACCCCTCCTGTAAAAGGTTTTTGTTTTTTAATTATGAAACAAAAAGTGCAATCCTACCCTCCTCCGATGGAAATATCAATATTTTATTGAAAACAAAAATGAATGCAACTAGTCCCTTGCCTAAAACCAAAAGTTCATGTTGGATTGCAAGTCCCTCAACCAGGAGATGGGATGTAGTCTAGCTGTGAGGCACCAATAAAGCAGGACAAACAGAAACCGAAAATAACACGAGAGCTAGAACGCTTACCGTCTTCAACATCTTTCAACTGATAGTAGTGAGGAGCTATTTCTACAAGCCATTCGGGTTTCAGTTCAGTTGCCTGCCAGGAAAACCCTCAATTACAATCTCCGTGATAATCAAGCAAACACAATAATAACCCTGCTACGAAACAAAAAGAAGAGAGATAAAGGAGAGGTGGACTAACCTGCCGCATGTACTCCTTAGTTGTCAGGACCAGCTCATGGTAGACAACCCATCTAGGGAGCACCTACAATATGCAAGAGCAAATGATTCTCATGAAGTTACTATCATCACTAAGGTTACATTATCTGTCTTGACAACTTAAAAATACAAAGCACAACAACTGAGTGCATGCTATTTGAAAGCGTGGAAGGATTAAAATGAGAGGGGTGGGGGAGATAAGACCCCATTGGCTGGCTCAGTCATAATTAGCTAAACAACACACAGAAATACCAGTTGCCAGGGAAGAGCATCACAGGACTAATAAATCCATAAGAAGGAAAAGGTCAGACTGCCTCTCTTCTCAACCTAAAAATACAAAGTAAACCGTACTATGATCTTCCTTTGACAGAAGCTAGTTACATATGGGCCACGGCTGAAGGATCGACGTCATAAACGAGAAATGAAGCTCCCATTTGGCCATAGATTTTGACTTCATTTTTTCAGAAAAAATTTGAAAACATTATTTGTTTATGAAATATAATCGCGTTTTCGGAAAAATTATTTCAAAAATTGGTTTAGGGAGGTTTTTGGGTGAAAATTTTCTTCCACTCACAAAACTTCAACTTTTCTTCAAATAAAATGCATGTCC